AAGGTTTCCATTTTTATATTGGAGGTGTAGAAAGCTGTAAAGAGCGTTCTGACCAAATTTTCTACAAACAAAATGCTAGACAAACTTCAAATTAATGACTTTTCTTGAACCCATGAGAGAACTGAGTTCTCAGGTAAACACCAACCTGCTTGAATTGCTGGGGGAAACAAGGGCCTGTAGGGAGAAACAGGACCCAAGTGTTTGCTAACCCATAGTGGGAAATGCTGAATGGCCTATAAGCTCCTACAGATATTCAGCTAAAAATTCCTAATGATTTCTTATAGGCCACGTGTGTCTGTGAAGGCCCATTAAAAGCGTCCCATTAAAGGGTTTTGCACCAACTTGCTTTTCTTCAACAAAACCCAGCAAGTGCTCACTGAGAAGACAGGAGAACCTTGAGAATCACCCTCCATCTCGTTACTGACTGGGGGAGCAGAAAAGTAGCTACTGCCAGATTCTGCCTACCTATCTCCCCTATAGAACAAAAGCCGTAATCTGTATAGTGAAGAGTAACAGAATTGTCTCAGTGTGGAAAGCCTTTGTAGCTGAGTAAGACAAGAGGTTAGGAAAGAGGAGTGGGGAGAGAGAGAGAAAGGATGGGGAAAGGAAAGAAGGAAGGGACTTTCCCCTGAGAGAGAAGCAGGGATATGGTTTAGAGCATCCAGAATTTTAAAGTAGTAAAACTACTCTGTATGATACCATATGGTGGACACATGTCATTATCATTTGTCCAAACTCACAGAATGTACAACACCAAGAGTGATCCCTAATATAGACTGCAGATGGGGTGATAATGATGTGTGAAAGTAGGTTCATCCATTATAACAAATGTACCACTATGTTGGGGATGTTGATAATGGAGCACATGTAGAGTCAGGGGGGATATGAAAACTCTCTGTACTTCATGCTCAATTTTTCTGTGAACCTCAAGCTCTTAAAAAAATAAAGGATATTAAACAAGCAAATAAACAACAACAAAAAATGCTTTCTACCTAAGAGAGGAACTGGAATATCTGATGTCACTACAACTGAAAAAGGGTTGGGAGCACTACTAGTAAAGGCCACACCCCAAGACTCGGGTTCCCAGTGCCTGTGTGAGATGGTGCCTGTCTAAGACTGTGCCTGGCTGAGACATAGATCAGAGAATGCTCTCCTCCCAGCCAACCATCACCTGCTCATAGTGTCAGGTAAAAATAACAATCAACTATACCTAGAACTGCAGGAGGAAGACTGTCTCTGATTCACAGTGCAAAGAGGCGACCCAAAGCCAAGAGGGAGCAGATACAACTAAAAAATGATCTGATAGACCAGCCCACACTTTAAAAACAAGGTGGAAAGGGCAGCATTTCTTAACCTCATTACTACAGACATTATGTAAAGGATGATTCTCTGTTGTGAAGGATAGGGTGCTGTCCTATGAATTGTACGGTGTTTAGCAGTATCTCTAATCTCTACTCACCAGATGCTAGGAGCACACCTCTAGTTGTGACAATCAAAAACGTCTTAGGCCAGCATGGAGGGACCTGGGGACCTGCTGAGTGAAATAAGCCAGTCAGAGAAAGGTAAGTACCACATGACCTCACTCATATGTGGAATCTAATGAGCAAAATAAACTCTTGTACAAAATGGATCCAAAGACAAAGAAGCATGGAACAGACTGTCAGAACCCAAATAGAAGGCAGGAGTAGATGGATTGGTGGGAAGAGATCAACCAAAGAACTTGTATGTATGCATGCATAACCCATGGACACAGACAATAAGGTGGTGGAGGCCTGGGGCAAGGGGCAGGGGAAGGATATAAGGGAACAAGGGGAGAAAAAGGGGGACATATATAATACTTTCAACAATAAAGATGTTTTTAAAATGTCTTAGGAAAGTGGAGGGTTCAAGATGACCGCTAAATTTGCTCCTCCCACACAGACCCCAAATATACATCCACATATAGAACAATTCCTCCTTAGACACATGGAGGGATGATTGAACAGCCCTTGCACAATAGACAAAAGAGAGACTGCATAGAGAAGGTTGAGCAGCCATGGGAGCTCTCTGGGATTTGTGGGCACTCTTCAGAATGAGGCATATGGAGGTACCAGTGAGCACCACTGTTTACATTCCCCCTCTACCTACATAATGCAAGCCAGCCATTTCCAGGTGATCTGGCCAATGTGCAAGGCCACTGCAGTGCATTCCCAGCTGCCTGCTTAGAGCCAGCTCTGACCTGGACAGCAAGGCACCTTTGTGCACATGCACACTAGGCTGCACGGCCCAGAGCCCACTTTGGCCCCAGTCAGCTGGACTAATAGGGCACCACCACAAATTCATATGCATTAGGCTGCCCTCTCCCAAGCCTGCTGGTACCCCAGATGCCACACACACCCCAGCTCCAACCAGCCTGCCAAAACCAGTGAGCACAGACTACACAGAGGTCATTCCTACACAAAGCCATTTTTTCAAGATTGGGTGATACAGCTGCTTATCAATTCATAGAAACAAACACAGAGACCAAAACAAAATGAGAAGACTGAGGCATGTTTCAAATGAAGGAACACTAAAAAAACAAACAGGAAAAAGCCTCATGAAATGAAAATAAGTATTTTTTTTATAAAGAATTCAAACTAACAGTCACAAGGATGCCACCCAACTTGACAGTAGAATAGAGGACCTCAGTGAAAACTTCAGCAAAGAGTTAGAAAATGTAATAAAGAACCAATTAGCACTCTACCTAATACATAGAAACAAACACAAGGAAGCAGACAAAATATGAAGACAAAGAAATATGTCACAAATTAAAGAACAGAAGAATTCTCCAGAAAAAGAACTAAATGAAATGGTAGCAAGCAAACCACTAGATATAGAGTTCAACAATGGTTATAAAGATGTTCAAGGGACTTAATGAGGGCTTCAAGGAACTCAGTGAAAATGCCAGTGAATGTAGTGAGAATTTCAAGGAAATTAATAAGAACATCAAAGACATGAAAAAGGACCAGTCAGAAATAAAGGACACACTAACTGAAATGAACAATAGTTTACAGGGAACCAACAGTAGAGTAGAAGATGCTGAGAATCAAATCATCAGTTTGGAATATGAGGAAGGAAGAAAAAATCCAACCAGAAGAGCAAAAAGAATCCAAAAATATGAAGATAATGTAAGGAGCCTTGGGACAACTTCAATCATAGTACCAACATTCGCATCATGGGGGTGCCAGAAGGAGAAGAAAGGGAGCAAGAAAGTGAAAACCTGTATGAAGAAATAATGACAGAAAACTTCTCCTACCTGGTGAAAGTCAAAAGAAACAAACAAGGAATCTAAAAAACAAAATACACTGATGAACAGAGTGGATCCAGAGACTCAGAAGCATGGAACAGAGTGCAGAATCTCAGAGATAGCACAGAAAGTCCCAAACAAGATGACCCTAAAGAGGCCCACACCAAGACACGTCATAATTAAAATACCAAAGGTTAACGACAAAGGGAGAATCTTAAAAGCAGCAAGAGAAAAGCAGTTAGTTACCGGGATAAGAGGGGGCTAGAAGGGGTCAATGGAGAAAAAAAGGACATATGGACATATGTAATACTTTCAACAATAAAGATTGAGTAGGGAGAAATATTCAAAGTGATGAAAACCAAAGACCTGTGACCAAGATTACTCTACCCAGCAAAGATGCTATTTAGAATTGAAGGTCAGATAAAGAGCTTCCCAGACAAGGAAAAACTAAAGGAGTTCATCACCATCAAACCAGTATTACATTAAATGTTGAAGGGTCAGAAGGAGAAGGAGGAGGGGGGGGGGGATATGAACAATAAAATGGCAATAAATACATGTCTATCAACAATTGAATCTTAAAGTCAAAAGAAACAAACAAGGAATCTAAAAAACAAAATACACTGATGAACAGAGTGGATCCAGAGACTCAGAAGCATGGAACAGAGTGCAGAATCTCAGAGGGAAGGCAGGGGAGGGTGGGTGGGTGGGAGGTAATCAACCAAAGACCTTGTATGCATAACCCATGGACCCAGACAATAGGGTGCTGAAGACCTGGGGTTGGGGGGGGATAAGAGGGGGCTAGAAGGGGTCAATGGAGAAAAAAAGGACATATGGACATATGTAATACTTTCAACAATAAAGATTTATATATAAAAAACTAAAACAAAACCAAAATAAACTGATGAATAAAATTGTACTAGAGGCATGGAAACATGGAACAGACTAACCTCAGAGGGAAGGGAGGAGAGGGGGTGCATCTACCCCAGATGTGGAAATTACAGCATGGCAGGCCTGACAAAGTAACCACCCTGGATGATCGGATCTTAAATTGCTAACTGGAGTTTATCTCTCCCTTCCACTTTTTATCCAATCCTAGAGCTTCCCACTCCACCCCACCCCCTCCTCTGGCTGCCTTAATCTACCACCAGCGGATTTCATGCACCCTCTACTTACATCTCCTTTGATTCTAATGTATAAAATAAACTGCAGAATTGCCATCTTGCAGGGCTTTTTCTCAAATCCATTGAGATTTTGCTTCTAGGTACGTCCAGAAAATTGGACTCAAACTCTTATAAAAACTTTTCTACAAGTTTGGTCACTCTCTCCTTGACAACTCCGTACTCTAAGCTGGAGCTTATCACAACCCCCTCGCACCCTCCAAACGCTGGCACAATAGGGTCTTGACCCGGAGAAAACAGCATCACCAGACCATCACAAAAACTGGCGGCCGTCAGGGGCCTTAGCGCCACGGAGGGGAGGAGGGGAAGGGGAAGG